AGTGTAAGAGCAGATATTTTAATCTGAACTTCGCCCATTCACTGCGGTTCATAAATTCGATTCTTCTTTTCTTTGTACATGTTTATATATTATTTTAGTTGTGTTTTTTTTTAACGGAATGTGAATAAAGGCCATTATTATATTATTATTATTAAACTCGGGTTAGTTCAAAAGAGCTATTCGTGAGCTACAAGTTTTGTTAGTTTCACATAGCACCGCTTGAGGGCTTTTGTCGACATTCCGACAGAAATGGTTAATTTTTTCAAAAAAATTAAATGCATTGCTACGATTTTTTTTCATGAAAAATTAGCTAAATGATGCCTAAACAAGCTCGCGAAAACAGCATCTCGATATCTTGAGATACATATATGACACAGATAGATAGATAGATATCGTGATGGTCAGCATTTCGAGCATTTACGGCGGCATTAAAAGCTTCCTTTTTTAAATCGATCCACCTTAGGACCACAAATTATATAATAAAAATAATTCCGGAAAAATTAGCTTAAAAAAATAAAATTTGGAGGGTATAAAATTTTCTTTGCCCTAAATTTTAGGTTAGGAACAAGATATCGAGATGCGGTTTTCGCGAGCTTGTTTAAGCATCATTTAGCTACTTTTTCATGAAAAAAAATCAAACCAGCGCATTTAATTTTTTTTAGAAAATTAATGATTTCTGTCGGAATGTCGAAAAAAGCCTTCAAGCGGCGATACGTGAAACTAACATTCAAATATTATAACACTTGTAGCCGAAGAATAACTCTTTTCAATTAACCCAAGTTTGTTAAAATTGGCTCAGCCGTTTCGAAGATACAGGGTGTTCTTTACGGAAACTTTTAAATACCCCCACCACTTCATTTTTAGAGATACAGGAAAAATTGTCAATCTGGAAGGGACAGAAAAATACTGTGCTGAGTTTTTACTCATAATATCATCCACACACCACCCACCTTATCGTCAATTTCATCAAAGTTATAGAGACGAGCCTAGTTTCGTTTGTACTATGTGTGATTGTACGTTTTGTACGAGAGTAAATTTATCTCATCCGTCACGAGACGGTATAATATACACTCGAATATACATATATTTACTTTTTATTACTCATCGTCTTTGAAATTAACTAATATACACATTTAAAGCGCATTTAATAGTTTTGGAGTAAATACAATATGAGTTCAAAATTATTGTTAATTATACGCATTAGTTGGCACTTTTATAGCAGCATAAGCCATGAAAAATAAGGCGGTTCGATAGCTCAGTGGGCAAGGCCGTCGCTTCCACGGTCGAGGATCGAATTTTTTTACAAGGCTTTCAGTAAATTTATGCTACAACTTTTTGTATTAATTATTTTAATTAAAAGGAACGATTGTTATAATGTTAGAATAGAAAAGATACTAAGAAACACTTAATTTATACAAATCGCTACGCGGTTTAGCGGTAAGCGCAAATTAGAGGCGTGAGAGAAGCTTTCAACTTAAACGATAAGAGTTAGTCGCTTCTGTCGGCACTCACCAAGTGTCACATTGAAATTTTTTATTATCCATTGTGATCTGGTTACAGATTTTTTATTTTTTTTTTATATTGGTATGTAAATTTACAATCTACTTATGAAACAAGTAATTAGTAAATGTTTTATGGTTTTTTTACAGGTCATGTAGGGTGCCGTGGCCATTGCCACTTTCCCCATATGTAATATTCTACTACGAATTGTTATTATAGTAAGTCATGTGGCCATAGTCGCTTCAGTCTTCAGCAAATTTTTCTTATGACAGACACCGAGAACGTATCAATTGAAACTCTCTTTTTTGCGATGAACGCGAGTGGTAAATTGTAGCAGCAATTTGGCAATACCGCTATACGCAGGTGTGCAAACGACAAAAATGCTTTATACTACACTACTAATATAGGTCTTGTCTATTGAAATTACAATCAGCACAGGTAGAAACGAACAACAACAAACAAATAAATTATAGTCCCTGGATCCGTAAACACGAATATTACATAAGTAATAAGATAAAAATCGTTGTGATTCCATTACAATACAGTAACGCCACAAAAAAAAATGCTCCTCCGACGTTGAGAGTATTGATGGAGTATCGTAATTACTCTCTATATTGGGGAGGAAAAGGTGCCATTAAAATTGATAAAATTTGGCACATTGTTGGTGTCAGAAATAAAACGATCCCGTTGCCATCTTGGGGAGAATCTATGTCTATGATATCTCTAGCCATATACGAACTCATTTATTAACAAACTGTACAATAGATGCGAAATTATCGCTCTGTTTGCTTCGAATTAAGATTTTTCCCACACTCTTTAGGGATTGAGTAAGTAATACACGGTTCACCGATCGATACCTGTCTGTTTTCGTAATGCATAAACATTTGGGATTAAGCTCAACTTACCCTCCAGAGTTTCACTGGGTCACCTGGGTCACTAAATTAAACTGGGTCACTGGGTCGCTGGGTCACGTCATACTCTGTTCAGTTAGACCCAGTGACCCAACTTGACCCAGTGACCCAGTTTGACCCAGTGACCCAGTTTGACCCAGCGACCCAATTTCACCCGGGGACCCAATTCCACCCAGTCACCTAGTTTGATCGAATAACGCAGTTAAGTCAGTGCCCTCGGTTCAAGTGTACAGATTATGAAATAAATGAAATGCTGGTTTGTTGAAAATAATACTCGATTGCTTGACAACTGCCATTTATGTGATGTTTGCTTTAATACTGCCGTAAAAAACTTTCAATGTCCCGAATTGTATTAGAATAATGTTATTTCTTTGCTTCAGGGCTTACCAGTTTGCTTACAGGTGTTCATTCACATTTAATTTTTTTCTACTAGTTAGCTTAATCCAAATAAATCTTTTCTCTAAATACTTTCATTGACAACTTGACTACAAACGATAAACAAATGCATTTGATTTTTTTAGGTATTAGTTCTCTTGAATGAAATTGGGCTAAGTGCTTGTTGCCGAATATTATTGAGGAAGTTTTTCTTTAAATTAAAAGTTACTTGAAATTGTTTTGGATGATACCTAACAATAATTTAATTACTGGGCCACCGGGTCAAGACGGGTCACTGAGTAAAGCTGGGTCAAGATGGGTCACCGGGTCAAGCTGGGTCACCGGGTCAAGCTGGGTCACTGGGTCAAGCTGGGTCACCGGGTCAAGCTGGGTCACCGGGTCAACTGGGTCACCGGGTTACTGGGTCAGTAAACTAACTGGGTCACCGGGTCACTGGGTCACTCTATGCTTGACCCAGTCCAACTCTGTTACCCTCTACTTCAAAACGTATAGGTAGTATTCCGATGGGTGCTCTTCATTTTGTTTGGGAGTTAACGCTACCCCTTTTTGCCAAAATCCTCGCCCAAATCTATACAACTATTAGTAAGACTCTTACTTTCTTAGTTACCAAAATGGTGTATTTGTGTCTAATGAATCTGTAATGTAAAAAAACTACACAACATCGTGTTTTTCAGATAAAAACAAAAATGTAATGTTTATATGGACCACCCTATATATTATATTATATGACAGTTTATTAAATTATCTACAAACGTTTTTATGCACCATAGCCAAAATACAAAAAAAAACGTAAATTGAATGGGTTTAATAAAAGTTATTATTACAAAAAAACAAGATTTTTCAATTATTTTTATTTCGATCTAGTCCCCGAGATGGGGTGGCCACTACTCCCAGGTTGAAAGCGCCCTTTGGCATAATATAGGACAGGTAGATTTTGGTCCTTAGACTATTACCTACCTATTGTCAAAATTTCAAGCTAAACGATTTATTTTGGTAAAATCTGAAGCTTTGACCGATACCCCTCGTCCAGGCCTTTCATTTTCTCTTTGAGAGTACTCTCTTACGACACTCCGATTTCGAGATGCGGATTTTTGATTCGCATACTCAACGTCTGGCGTTTGAGGTGCGTCCGTCCGACTGGCAATACTCTTTCTTTCGAAAACGCGCTTCCCAGATTTGCTTCGGTCCTGGGCATACTCTAGCTGGGAGTCGTGAATTCACGAAATCAAAATCGATTTGTAATTTCGCTCCCTTTTAGTCCATTCATCACGTTTATTCTTTCTCTTTACGAGTAGCTTCTGTGCTGCAGTATCATTACTCTCCGCCTGCACACAATCCCCACAACTGGTGCTCCTCCAACAGCACATGTACGCGGAATTTCCACGCGGCGTAATTTGTTTACTTGGAACAACGCAACAAAGAAAACGATCACTTTTTAGGGGAATTTTTCGAGGGAAAAAATTCCCCTTATGTGATGGTTTTGTCCATCTCTTCCTTGTCTAACTCGAGAACGGAAAGAGACAGCCATTTCAAATTTTCGCCAATCGATTTCTACGAGTTTTAAGTGGTATTGAATAAGAGCCGGATCAAAAGTTTGGTTTCCGAATACGAGGGGCGTGACATTCCCCTACTGAAAATCGTATGCGATTCTTCGTTATCTTGTCATTTTTTCCAACATTACGACGATTGCACTTCCTTGGTACCGAAACCCGCAACCTTTTCAGATGGAACAATAAGAGAAAGAACTTTAGCATGACTTTATAAGTTAAACAACAAAAAGGAAACGTGTATTTTGCGTTAAAATTAATAATAATAATAATGAAGTTTGTCACACTAAGCTGTGCCGTAGACAGATAGGGGCAATCCGAACAGTGTGGTTGTCATCCCAACAGATCAGTAGTATTGAGCATAACAATTTGCAGCTTGCGTCTTTTATTTTTTGTTTTCATTTAAAGATAACGGGCGATCAAAAAAGGATTAACGTCGAGTCGCCTTTGGAAGTTCAAGCTTTCCATTGTAAACAAAAATTCCAAAGGTGACTCGACAGCAACTCTTTTTTAATCGCACAGTATTTAACTAAGGGCTTTGTTTATTATTGCAACCAGCGAAACTTTGACTGTGTAATTGTAAATCAGGAATACTTATTTTTTTCCATTTTTACATGTTAATTTCATGACATTTAATTGATTACAGGTGGAGATGGAATGTATCACTTCAAAGTATTGGTTCCCAGTGTCGCAGCTGGAGCCATTATTGGAAAAGGCGGAGAGACTATTGCACAATTACAAAAGGATACTGGAGCACGAGTCAAAATGTCCAAATCACACGACTTTTATCCTGGTAAGTGCGACACCATTTACAGTGTTTATTTTTGATACCATTTTACGAGATGCTCCAAATGGGCCCCTTCATTTTTAATTGAGATGTGAAACGGTGTTTTTTAACGAAAAATTGGAGAGCGGCAGCGAGTGACCAAAGAGACTCGCTGTATCTATTTGGGCCGCCCGTTTCGTAACGATCATAAATTTGCGAAACAAGGTCATAAGTACTAATGTATAATCGCAGAAAGTACGATTTTTATCTAAATGGTGAGAAACGCGCTTCTATTCATACGCGTTGGGTGTACATTTAATTTAATTAATTACGCCCTACTTTGATTAAAAACATAAACATTAAGTTATCATTATCGCATACCATTTAGTTACTTCATTCTTCAATTACGAGCTAAATTAACATGATTCACTTATGTACAGGGTAAAATAGAACATGCTAACAGTCTTTCGTAGACGATTGACGCGTATTAAAGCGCACACCCTGTATGATCATGGGTTAAAGGGCAATGTAGTTAAATCCGATAAATTTCATACAACGCGCAAAGCAGGTCATTTAAATTATACGTCTACTTTTTTATATTAGCCGCTATTATTAGAGCTATCGATTGGTAAAGACGTGACATAAATTAAGACCCAATTTTTTCTTCGTGTTTATTTAAAGCGATCAAATTAGGCCTCTTTACAGACAGTCTACTGTCTTGCGGAAGTTTCCATTTCCAACTTTGTGCCTTCCGTCGTGCGACACGCTTCTGTGTCTTTTGCAAAAAGTGCGAGTGACAGTATCAAATCAACAGGATGCCGACTGGCATCCCCTGAGAAGGCCCTTTCACGATGAGCTGAATCGATTTATATGGGAAACGACTGTCTACGTAACTGAAGGTTGCCACAGTATTTTCTGGTTTATCAAAAGTCACCGCAGTAGATTTACTTTTTATTGTGTATTTTACGTCACCGAGGTATTTTTTCTCAGAGTCTACATTTAAACATTCTGTAGTGTTTTATACGACTGTCATTACAACTAATTTCGTAGAAGTGTCTAAACTGTTCCTCTATCTATTCTATACACTATATCTTTTACAAATGCCAAATGGATGTTTCCTGACACTTAATGTTTTTCTAAAATCATTTCTGTAAAATAATGGTCTTGATCCCCATACAATCTATCGGAATCGCGTGAAACTGAGAAAGAAAGTGCACTGTTACGACTTGGACATTTATGGGTATATCTAAATTAATAATTTATTAAAGTAACTTCATTTGATATTTAAACATTTCTGTTAGATCACACAAACATGTCGTGTGCAGATAGGTAGGGTTTGAATATGAATAATTTCGCGTATATTAACCTAAAAAACTAATGTTAGTCAATATACCCGTAGTTAAAGGTTAGATGCTCTTGCAACTTTTCCCTCTTTATTTAAATCACACGTCGTGTTGCAAGATTTTCAGTCGTAGTTATCAATTAGATTATTAGATTACCACACACAGTTTTTCCTTAAGGTTTGGACTCCGTAGTCCAATCCCTGACATTTTCCTCACCGTGTGTGCTCTAGACCTTGAGGTTGCCGATGGACTGTACAGTCCACAAAATCCTTTTCGAAAAACCATTGGGAATAACCGCGCAAACCTGTCTGAACAAGCCAAACTTGGCGTGTGTGGTAGTATCGTAGATTAATTTATCAGTTTTCCGGTGTGCACCGTATAGTAAAATAATATGAACCGTCAATTTATGGAAAACTTCAAAGTGCGCCTTGCCTTTGGTAAACAAGGTGTAAGGAATAGGTATACCACCACAGGAATATTTGCTTCTCTTCATTAGCCATTCTTTCGCCCAGACACTTATTCTTTCAATACGTTTTTTTGCGAGATTTAACACACATTTTCCCCATAGTTCAAACAATTACCCCCAAAGTATCATCGACGAGCACAAACACAGAGAATAACTTCGGTGGGCATGTGCTCTTGGGTACATTTTGTATGTCTGTATTTCAAAAAATTTAAGAAGAAAATAAAACCTGTAAATAGCCTAATGTCAAACTCTGCCGCTGTGTACGAAGTTTTGTGCAAAAAAAAAATTTTCATACCGGGAATCGAACCCGAGCCTCCTGACTGACAACCGGGTATCTTTGCCCCTAAAACATGGGGTACATAATATCACAGATTTAGATTTAAATATACTAATTTAAATCTGTGATAATATCGCGACTGAACTTCATATTTCCAAATTAGTTTAAGGGAAGGGATAAGTTTACATTTCAAAACACTTAAAAAAACAATATTTGATTGATTGAAGGCACAGTTCGTCATTTTCATAATATTTCTGTGTAGAAGAAAATATTGGGATTTTTCTTTGTGGTAGTTGCCGGAAGTGGACCAGGAGAAATTATAACTGTTTCAATTTTGATTTCTTTGAGCCAGCACAGTTGCGAAAACTTAATTGATTGCATTCTGCTACTTTTTATAATGTAAATATGTTCAATAAATTGAATTACATTTAAGGATTGATAGTAAATATAGATTTTTTTTACGTTTTTGTTTACCCATCTGGTAATACAATGTGCAAGAGCGAGTGATGGTGCACACATGTAAAATAATATGACGTCAGACTAGACGACGTCATTTTATACAATTAATATCAATCGTCGCGAATGTCGCAGAGGATTACAAGTTTAATTAAGTTAATTTAATAGATCAAATCACAGCACCAATTAAAAGACGCGAATAAATCCACTAATCAATTCTATAAAGATTTAGCCACACCCACAAATTGGCCCGATTTCCAGAATCTTGTGGTGTAACTTCAAATAAATAATTACATTAATTCTATTAAATCCGCGAAACTAAAATAATCGATCAGCCAGAGCGCGAGTACGAGAATTATTTCAGATGACGCACATTAAATTAAAACCCGCGAATAAATCCGCCAATTAAAGCGCGAAATAAATTAAATCTCAGAAAGAATCAAAATGACCCCCTAAAGCACTTCGATCCCGCGAATGAAAAGGAGTGGGGGTAAAGTACCACACTTCTACTAGTCTTCATGCACTGTTCACGCTGATCTACTTCGTCTGCTGCTCCTTCTCACAATGGAACAGACAGACAGACGGACGACGGAAAATCGAGCACATACTCGTTACCTTAACTTCGTTGTGTTACGCTAAAAATCCGTCAAAAATAAGTGCGTTCAGCGAAATCAGTGTAAAAATAAAGGTTTCTGGCCTCTCTTGGTCATGTGTAGGGCAAGCGATTGTTTAGATGTACCTTAGATGCTACTGCTATACACTTCCGAATAAAAAAATCCAAAGTCTGGGAAATTGTTGCAGTAATTGAATTTTTCACCTACATACATTTATGCTGTAGGATGGCAAGCAAGCCCCTGCTATTTCTATATAGTTTGTGGTCTATCAGAAATGAAAAGTTGTATAATTATTTATAATTACAAATCTTGCTGCTATACTTTCTAGCTGGTCATTTGCGTTTTTATTTATTGAAAACTCGGTAATGAATGAATAAAAATCAGCCACCGTACTGATAATTTGAAATTATTATCTATACATAAGTGCAACTGGTTTACTCTTGTTACTATAATAAAAACCACAACTGGTTACTAATTGGATTACTTAATTCTAACATCATTGTTTATACGAACATTGTAACGGGCGATCAAAAAAGGATTGACGTCGGGTCCCCTTTGGATGTTGAAACAAAAGTTCCAAAGGTAACTGCAATTCTTTTTTGATCGCATTTGCGTAGAGTACAAGCAGGCTTTGGTACAACCCCTGTGCTTAAATAGTTATTAAGGATCCTCAGATCCTTTATAGTTTTGTATTGTCGTCCGTCCGTCCGTCCGTCCGTCCGTCCGTCCGTGTGCGCTCTAACTCTTTTTAAAAGTGGCCGATTGTGTTGAAATTTGGTATACGGGTACGTTGGACATTAAGAACGGACGCTATTGATTTTCAGGAAGCTGGTTCAACAGGAACAAAAGTTATACGACTTCGAGTGAATCGGGGACAGGAAAAACTGCGAACTCAATATAATAAAAATTAACATATTTCATTCCCTAGGTCATGTATCGAGTTCGGACTTTCGCTAGATTATTCCCTATGACTCTTAGATGTGTAACAATTCAATATAACTCTTCTCTGTGGTCTCGGTCAAAATTTTTAGAGCAAAATGTACCCAAAATTATTCTTTACACATGAATTTAGAGTTGTAAAAGCTTTCAAACGCATTATCTTGATGCTGAAAGAGTTGATAACGTGCACGTTTGATAACCGCATGTGTGTGATTCAAAAATGTTAAATTATTTTTCTGAGGCCACATGGATTTTTATTCAAAATATGTCAAAATCGTTAATTATGCACCAAGATCGTTGGGAAAAAGACTACGCGCATTATCTCAATGCCCAAGACATAAATTTGATGCATTTTTGGCGACCACGTGGATTTTGATCAAAACATGTCAAAATCGTTATTTTATGCACCAAGATCGTTGGGAAAAGACTAGGCGCATTATCTCAATGCCCAAGACATGAATTTGATGCATTTTTGGCGACCACGTGGATTTTGATCAAAACATGTCAAAATCTTTATTTATGCACCAAGATCATTGGGAAAAAGACTAGGCGCATTATCTCAATGCCCAAGACATGAATTTGATGAATTTTTGGCGAAAACGTGGATTTTGATAAAAACATGTCAAAATCGTTATTTATGCACCAAGATCGTTGGGAAAAAGATCAAGAGCATTATCTCAATGATCTAAACATGAATTTGATCTATTTTTATGGACCACATGGATTTTGATCAAAACATGTCAAAATCGTTATTTATGCACCAAGATCGTTGGGAAAAGACTAGGCGCATTATCTCAATGCCCAAGACATGCATTTGATGCATTTTTGGCGACCACGTGGATTTTGATCAAAACATGTCAAAATCGTTATTTATGCACCAAGAGCGTTGGGAAAAAGACTAAGCGCATTACCTCAATGCCCAAGACATGAAT